ACGCACTTGTAAGACGGAGACAACAAATGCGGGTGTAACGTCCTCTTAATGCATTTATATGCACTAACATCTCGAGTAGGTATGTACAAATACGCAAAATAAAATTATTGTGTGTGTGGGGGGAGGGGGGGTGTATCGAGTGCTTTTATAGTTTTATACACTCCTGCAGTATAGTTGTACCACTGCAGCAGGGTAAGGTGTACATTCGTCCATTTCCACAACACATTTCGTCGTTGTTTGTGTTATTAATCGGGAAATTTTGAAATCTAATTACGTAGTTTGTGGTAATTACACACACGCACGTTTATCCATATAATATGTAGGTACATAATATAAAATATTAACTATTTATACATCAAACGAGTGTGCGAAAGCCGTGTAATTGCATGCGCGTGCCTGTATGGCGGCGGTGATTGCATAACTGCAGGTAAATGCATCATATATGCACCGCATGGCGCATATACAATACATAATATAGTGTCAATATTGGTACATATATATTATATATATATCAATTATAAATTATAAATACCCGTAGAATGTGTGTTATACGTCGTAGTGCAGGTACATACGTCTTTTCTGGTCGTGTAWATAATGACTACATTGGACTCGGAGGAGTTTTATTATGATTTTTTCGGTGACTTAATAAAATTCGTTTCACTGCAGCGTTACATACGGCGACGTCGATAATCGTTCAAAAGTCTGCGGAAAGAATAAAAAAATAATAATTATAATAATATTAAAACACTTTATTAGATAACAAAAATGTAAATGTATAATATATACGTGCGAGTATGCATATATATTTCCGATTGCTATTTTGTCGTTAAACATAATCTGAACTAATTTTATTCACGGTCGTCTAGAAATAATTGATGCCTTATGAGACTTTAGGTGCATGTTAAATTAATTTTTTTAGAATTTCATTGACTATTTGTGTTCACTTCATATACACCTATATAATATCATCTCATAATATTTTTATATCAAAACGAAGGTTTTCGTTAGCCAAGCACCAAGTATAATGTTATTTTTTTTTTTTTTAAGGATGTGTTAACATTCGGTAAGTCTTGCGAGCACCTTTATATAATATATACATATATATATATTAAGTAAAGTTATAAGTAAAAAAATACCAAATGTACATTGTATTAATTCGACGCTGCAGTTTGCAGTCGAACTATACCGTATGCATCCATAAGTGCTCCCTATTTTGATATATACGTTCAAGCATGATGCTATACGTGTGTGGGTGGTATTAGTGTAATACAATATTGTTTTTTTGTTTTTTATATTAATTGTTGAAGGCATTTAGGCATCAACGACAAGGTTATTAGCCGATTATACAATTTTATATTAAATATTTTGTCGATTTATAAAAACTCAACACTATATATTACATACATATAGGAATATAAATACAATTGTTATTAATTATCATTGCTATTATATGTCAACTTGCATGTAGTAGTTTCAGTTARGTTTATACAATTATACGATATACATTGTCATTACATGTTTTGATTATCAAGTATTATTAATTATTGACTAATGACAAACTAATATTCGCAATGTAAGTGGTAGCAGGGCGTTTTAGGAAACGGTTACACCTATAACTATACTCAACTCAACTACTGTAACAATTTTTTTTTATTGAAAAATAGTATTTTATACGTAATAATTTTGACTGTGCTATTGGTTGCTAGCCTTGTAAAGGTCGACAAAATACTATATACACTATAACTGTATCCGTGCAATAAATAAATAAATATTAATTTGGAAAAAAATAAATAAATCTTGATTTTTATGAGTTTGTTGTCTTAAGCTTAAAAACCAATCAACAGTTACATAGAAGATGTTAATATAAACGATTAGTAAAAATTTCAAATACAGTAATAAGTTTTTGATTACAATATAATAATGAGATGAGTATCTTAATTCATAAGAAATATTTTTGGAATTACGATCAACTTTTTTCTTGAAATTCTGGCAATAACATATGAGAAACAAAAAAGGTATGAATTTTTAAAAATACTATACATTTTTAATTCCGAATATTTTAGAAATTATTTTTGACAAATTGATGTTGGTAAAAATTCCAAATTTAATTGTTCATAACAAATAATTGTGAACATAAGCTCAAAAAAATTTCTATAATTATAAACATTAAACTTAAAACTTAAGAATATATACGCAGTTATTTGTTTTTGAATTACTACAAGATTAAAAAATTAATTGATTTGTATGAAAATTTTGTTTTTTTCCTAATTATTCTTTATTTTGATTTCAAGTTTTGAGAATTTTTTGCTTTTGATTCTCTATATTCACTAAAAAAGGTTTTGTACTTGTAGCTTAATATCGAAGATTTTTTTTATCATACAACGTCTCTTTTGACGAGAAAAAAACATTGTAACGTAAATCTTAAATATTTTTGTACATATATTAATAATATTCTTATAGAAATTTACATTTAAGATGTATATATTTAACACTATAAATATAATAAACATTTCTAAAAAGTTCTGATAGTCATCGATGATTTAATATTTCCTCGATCTTATAAGAGATGGTCAATTATTTAAACTTTGAATCTATTAAATTTTCAAGCCTTGGGTATTAAATATGAAAATGTCCTGGATTTATAACTCCAGTAAAATTAGCGAATTTCCGTGATAAACGTGATAAACGTGATAAACCACCAGAGTTGATAATTAAATTAAATTGTCTGATTCAAAAGTCAAAACGTAATGACAGACACAAACTATACCTACTCCGCCACTCACACTTCACACACATTAATCATAGCTCCGCTTAGAATCTAACTTCCGAGAATAGTTAATACTTATTTACAGTATAATCTGCAATATGCAATATAATATTATTTGATTCAAATATTCTATTCTAATCTATCTACGCCATAAATAAGTAATTGCGTAGTATTTCTCTCATTAAAAAAAAAATATATACACCTACGTATTTATATAGGTATATTTTTTTCTTCAATTTATTTTGTCAATAATTCAATGATTATTAATAGACAATRAATAATTTATAATGCGTAGTTCCGATATATTTTATTAATACCAACAGGGTAATTAATAAAAAACTGAATTTTTTTTTGTGGAAACGTAATTATTATTCGTAAACCTGTTTAATTTAATTTTTTATTTAATTCCTATTTATGCATGCAATATTATGAAGAATGCATGACGCGTGTATATATTATAATATATAAATAGTAGATTACGTAAACAATAAATGACGATTGTTTATTGGTTCGTCAACTCATTTGAGATCTGAGAAGAAATCGATCATCATTAAATATGGTAGGTAATAGATTTATGGATAATATATAATAATTTATATTTATCAGAAAAATAAATTTAGTCATGTTAACATTTTAACAGCAGTTAATTATGTAAATAAAGAAATTACACAAGCATATGATTTTAATGTGTTGACAAATTTTGTACTGTAAATCAATATAATTTCAATGTTAATTGTGTGTTGGCGATCGTTTCATTCAGCTAAATTAATAAATATGCAAAATATGAATATTATACCTTCTAACGATTTATTATACTATCAATTGTTTCTAATTCGTATCTAATATTYATTATTTATCTAAATATGTTTTAAATACACAAATAGGTCCTAGTAACTGTCGGTATTTTGGCTATTTGGTTTTCACAAATAATATCACCCTTTTTTGTACATTGCCCATAGGTTTTATTGTTATTAAATTTACTGCACAGTAATAAGTTAAAACGAAAAAATTCAAAAGTACAAAATATAAAGTGATTGAATACAAATACAGAGGATTTAATGAAGGACATAATTTGGATATGATGGTGAAACAAAGTGAATTTAGGGGAATAGTTGGATATCATTAATATTAGGCCACGAGAGGGGCATAACCTAAGGAGACTGACGAGAGGAAAGGTGAGTTTTACGAAAAAAAAAAACAGATTTTTGTTAAATAGCAATGCGTGTTCAAAATCAAATATAGAGGTAAATATTACAT